ATGGGCAGTCTTGTATGTTTTCCTCTTTTATGTTTGAAGGGTTGGCGGCCTTCACCTTGGCTGTGCCCGTCGGGGGTGAGTTAGGTGTGTGTGCCTGCTAGGGATGAGTTAGATCTGTGCCGGGGGTGAGTTAGGTGTGAGTGCCCGCCAGTGGTGAGGTAGGGATGAGGTAGATCTGTGCCGGGGGTGAGTTACATGTACGTGCCTGCCAGGCATGAGTTAAATCTGTGCAGGGGATGAGTTAGGTGCGTGTGCCCGCCAGGGGTGAGTTAGACCTGTGCCAGGGTGAGATGGGTGCACATGCCTGCCAGGGATGAGTTAGGTGCGTGTGCCATCCTATTTGGATGTGTTGGACTGATCACGGCTGCATGTGAAGAAGATAATAGATTGAATTGGGGTTGGGATGCAAAGGCCGGGTGAACCTGATTTTGCTGGCCATGTGTCGCCTCCTGGATGTAAATACTGATCCACGTGCTCCTCAGAGCCAATGAGCTCACGTGTTGCCATTGGTATGCAGTGAGGGGGCGTGGACTTGTGCTAGTGCATACATGACCCTGCTCATAAACTTGAAAAAGACGTTGCCTTCTAAAGAGTGGCTCCAAAGTGGCAGACGCCCCTCCATATATTATTTTGGCAAGGTAGCCCCTCATCTTCGTTATGTAACCTCTTCAGTAGGATTAGGTCTCAGCACCTAACGTGTCTCTCATTCTGTTTCTATCTTAGATAGATCCATGATGGTGCTGGTGCACCAAGACAGTTTGCATGTCCTGGTGGGACAGAAGTTCGTCTGCATATTGGGCAATGACCTCAAGCTTGACCTCAATGAAGTAACGGAGTGGCCATGGAAAAGCGGGATTATTCGTGCTGCCTCCCATAAAGAGATCAACTGTGCAGAATTGAAGGTAAGTGGGTGCTTGTGAAGTCTCCTTTATTCTGTGTGTGATCTAGAAATGCTTAACAGCTCTGACATGAAGCCTGTGATTGGTTGGTTGGGGTGCCTTTAAATGAATGTCTACTCTTACAATGAATATTAAATAAACCCGTAAAAGTGTTCTGTGTGTTCCAGTGCAGAGAGATACCTGTTGATTTTTTTTGCCTTTTTCTACATGAATGAGCTGGAACTGATTATGGGTTACGTCTTGTGTTCACTCCAGTTGCCTGATCAAGCCCCTTTGGCTTGCAGTAGGGATCATTGATCCTGGACTTTAGCTTTTAGGTGGTAATCACCTGTGGTCAGTAACGGCAGGGTCTGTTGTTGACCCATAATGCTTTGTTCTCAAGTTTGGTTTGTTGCACTCTCCACTTAAGTATTAGCATTTCATTTTGCTTATTTTCTTTTCCATAGAGGACTAGTGTAACTTATACTGTACCGTACTTCAGTAAATGGCACTCATTGAAAATCTCATGTATGATCATATTTACTTGAAATTGTGGCTCATTGAAGTGTCCTAAAGGGCCTCCAAGGGATATTGTGTGCTCTAGCTCTAAAGAATTGTGGGATTCAGTAAGAAGAGATTTTCAATGTTCTCTGAGACAGTCCCTTGGGATGTTGTTGTTTTGTTTTTTTTGAGGGGGTTTTAGCTCTTAGTGTAGCACATTAATATGGTAGCACGGCCGGTGGGCCTTGGTGCCCAGTTGCCGCATATATCGGTTGAGCACACCCCAGAACACAGCAATCGGCACCCCCTAAACTGTGACCAAGCTCTTACTGACAGCTCAATGTCAACAATTGGAGCCAGTAGGACGGTCTGCCCGTCACGTCATCACTGTGCAGCCAGACGAATGAACGGAAGCCCCACCTACTGACATCACAGGCTACTTGAAGGGCTGGCTCCTGTCAGCAGCAAGGGGTTAATCACTTTCCTGATTTGAGTTAACACTACATGTTGTACCCCAAGCAGCCATTTCAAGTGGACAGTTTCTGCTAGAACCTAGGGGTTAGTTTACACCATAAGCAGCGCGTTCCAGGGCTACAGTGCCATTCACTTCAATGGCCCTCCACGCCCCCTCCAACCTGGCAGAAAAGTGAGCCGGCCGCAATGCGAGGCAGTGCGTTCCGGCCAGAATCGCACCAGAACACACAGCTTATGATGTGAATTTACCATAACTAGCATGTCAGTTGACCTATAAATACGGCATGTGTACCACTAATGCATCTGTTTTTGTATCAGAAGTCACAGTTCCAGAACTTCGTTTTTTGTGGCAGAAGAGGCAGCCTATGGGTTCTTTGTTTTTTAACTAGGAAACCTAGGGAAATGGACATGCTTGGATTATTTTTTTTTATGGAGGGGGGGGGGGGGGGGTTATGTTTTTCATTGGGACTTCTCCCAGGTTTTTAGCATTGCCCTCATTGTGGCTTGGGAGATATTTACCTCACTAGTCACCCCAAAATGACTAGTGGAATGGAAATCATTTTCCTTCACTTCCTGTTCTAGGTGGTACCTACCACCAGGACAGGAAGTGAGGAGAAAACGGCTGAACCTGGACACTGGCAGATGATCAAACCTTGGCCACACTGTCCAAAACAAATCTCGGCTAGACATGAACTTTTTTTTTCATTCAATCCTTTATTTAGGAGCCTATATTTAAGGGTTTGGTTGGGTTTAGGGTTTGTTAAAGGTATAGGTTTGCTTTTGAGTTAATTTGATGTCCAGATGAGACTTGTGTCCCTATATTTGTATTCCGTGTTGCATTTGCGTTGTGTTTTCCTTAAGTCTTGAGATTTTCTGATCTGTTGCCGAATTATCTGCATCTGGTAAATCCTGGAGCAAGGTTGTCAAATATTAAGTAAGAGAAACTGCTGGTACCTATTTCTTTCATTGTCCATGGAAGCATATGGTATTTGGTTCCTTTTGGTGTGTAGCTGACATTTGGATTGACTGGCTTTTGGACTTGAAGCAAGCCTTGACTTGGAAGTTGAAAATAACCTGGTAGCACCAGCTACCAGCCTAAGTCACCTCATACCTTGCCCTGTCATGTAGGAATGTATATACATCTTGCATCTAGCCCACAATTAAGTGCATTGGACCCTAGTAACCTATCTGCAGACATGGCCATCGTCATGTGGGGGTTTACCTATTGATAAACCTAATCTTCCAGAGTCATTGTTTACATCGGCGTTTCGGTAGAGCGTCGCAAGCTTTGTCAGTTCTTTTTTGGTCCTTGTGTTATGTAAATCTGAATCGATTTTATTCAGGTTTTAAATTGGGTAGTCCTGTGAATAAACCTTCAATGTAAAGTTATTTATCTGGTAAATAAGAGGTCAGTGTGAAGTGCTGTGTTTGCCAGGAAGTATAGTATAGATTAGAACCACTCTTTATTCTCCCAAAGTGGAAGTTTCTCATTTTAGAATTGCTATGTGAACACAGCCATATAACATGTGTACCTTGATAAATGCATAGCACCATGTTTCACGTCTGTCCATGCTTCAGTTGTCCAGCAATCACCATTGGAACCTGCTGGCCATTCACCAGAGACACCATGCAAGTCATGTCACTCAGACCCTTATCTATGTCTGTTTGTACAGCTCGACTGGGAAAAGCTTCCCCTGCACCCAAAGATGTAGATGGCGTGAGGGGGGCTGAATGACACATTGAGGATTGCTGGGCAGAAGACAAACATGGTGCTGGGAATGTATCAAGGTACATGCGTTGCTGGGCAAATCTCAGGAGCCAGTTAGCCAATATTGCTTAAATGTAGTCGGTGCTGAACTTTTGAAGTTTTTCTTTAGTTAGGTGCCAGTGGAGCTCCTACAAAAAAAATCTCCTGGGTCTTGAATGTCATATTAGTTTGTCCTCCTCTGGTTTAATGTTCCTACAGTAATTTCCACTTTAAATATGACTGAGATTGTGTTTTGTTTTTTTTAAACTAATTTATGGTGTTGACAAAGTCTTCAAAACCTTAAAGGAGAACTATGGGGTCAGGGCTTTTCCCCATAGTTCTCAGGGTAACGGGAGGACACAAACTGGCGTCCTCCCGTCACCCTAAGCTCAGTACACGGCGAGCTACTGCTCGCAGTATACTGAGACGCCGCAACTGAAAGGGATCCCGACAATTATGTCTGGATCCACCCAGCTGCGTAAGTGACAGCTGGCTCTTCTCTCTGCCGTGACAGGATCGAGAAGTGAGCAAGCGCCGGTATGTGTTCGCTCACTTCCCGATCTACTGAGCCGACCTGTGACAGTTTCATTGTCACAGGTCGGCTAGAACTATGAGGATGAATTAAAATCACTCACTGCATAGTTCTCCTTTAAAACTATCCATTGCGAACGTTTAGGTTGTCTGGAAGTAAGTTAAACTTCCAGTATGTTTTGGTAATCTTGATGGAAACCAGAGCAGCTGAAGAGACATCCTACTTGTGGAGGAACATAAAACCTGCATGCAGATAGGGTGCTGTTGTAAATATTAACCAGGAACATCATGGCTACAATGCTAATCATGAATACACTATATGATCGCCCACTAGGTGGGAATAATGCTACCGTTGATTGGAGCTAGGTGAGCAAGCTGAATAATCAGAGGTCTACATTTGGTGTTTAGGATTTTGTCTGTGGCCTTCCACCCTTGTGTAAAAGATGGAGAACATAGCGTTTGGATTGTCCTTTTCAAACTTTTGTTTTCTAACTTCTCCAAGAATGTTTAAGACTTTCTCATAGCCCCATTCCGAACCCTTAAACCTGTATTGAGTTGAGGGCTTCTTGCATTGTAGTTGTATGTTGCACTGATACTAATGAACCATTCTCTCTATGTCTGACCCCGTGTGTGTGCATCTGCCAGCTGGCGTTTGGCATTGTTTGGGTACGCCACTTTGAGCCATTTTTTTGCTGCCTCCTTTAGCCAAGTAGTTAATTAGTTCACAAAAACAACCTGTCTTATTGTGAAAAGTCCAACAGAGGAAGAATACTAAAAATTTCAGATGGGACATGCACAAGTGCTTAAGTTTTTCTAGAGGGTTTTGTTTAGGAAATTGACATTCTGTATTTTCTGTGATACATCTTGCTCACATTAATGGGTTAATGAAGTGGCCAGATGTGAATGCTTGATGCAATACACGGCTCTAAAGCTGCAGGACTAACTGAGACTAACAGCTTGCTGTTGAGCTAAGAAGGCATTAAAGGTTCCTGTAAGCCAGTCATATGGGCTACACCAGGGTAAGGGAACCTCGGCACTCCAGCTGTGGTGAAACCACAAAACCCATAATGCCTCTGGGAGTCATGCATGTGGCTGTCAGGAGTCTTGAAATGTCTTATGGGACTTGTAGTTCCACAACAGCTGGAGTGCCGAGGATGCATAACCCTGGGCTACACCATGCTGACTGCAGATCATTCCGCAAACCTGCTGCTGACAGCTGGACGCAGCCATCTTGTGGGCTGAGACTGCAATGACAGAAGGAGGAGGGCCTCTGTGATGTAGCTTGTTGCTGGTAACCTGACGGGCTGCACTGGAATTTTGGTTCTGCCCACAAAATGGCTGCCTCTACAATGTGAAAAACGAATCAGTACATGTTTTCTGCTTGGTGACATTATTGATTATACGGTGTATGCTGAGGCTGTTACATGTAGAAATGTCCAGAAGAATACATGAGGTGGTTAAATAATCTATTTGCTCTTTTCTTACTAAATATACAAATAAAGCTTATTGTTGCCACCAAGTAGATTGTTGGCCTCACATCTAATGTGTATAGTATGTCGAAGCATCGTTTAGCATCTCCAGTCCTCGAAGAACACAGGTCATGTCATCCCTCCGTCAGGGCAGCTCAAAAGCGATGTTTTGATTGAAGCATGGTGTGACATAAGCTGCTTGTGATTTTTCAGACTGATCTAAAAATCTGATTGGTTGTTGGTCTTTGTGGACTAATTTAGAAAACAGACCAAATGGCAAGTTTGTTGTATGTGGAATAACG